GTTGAGTTATGACCGAGTTATGGAGGTGGGAAATTTCGACCCATGTCTTTATACGAATCTACAGGGTAAGATTTTGACATGAATTTCGACCAAAAAATGGGTTGTCAGATTTAAATGCCAGATTGTTTAAGATGGAAAACCATTAAGAAAAAGCCAAGCCTCTTGAAAATCGGTTGAGTTATGACCGAGTTATGGAGGTGGGAAATTTCGACCCATGTCTTTATACGAATCTACAGGGTAAGATTTTGACATGAATTTCGACCAAAAAATGGGTTGTCAGATTTAAATGCCAGATTGTTTAAGATGGAAAACCATTACGAAAAAGCCAAGCCTCTTGAAAATCGGTTGAGTTTTGACCGAGTTATGGAGGTGGGAAATTTCGACCCATGTCTTTATACGAATCTACAGGGTAAGATTTTGACATGAATTTCGACCAAAAAATGGGTTGTCAGATTTAAATGCCAGATTGTTTAAGATGGAAAACCATTAAGAAAAAGCCAAGCCTCTTGAAAATCGGTTGAGTTTTGACCGAGTTATGTGAATGGGAAATTTTGACCCATGTCTATATACGAATCTACAGGGTTAGATTTTGACATGAATTTCGACCAAAAAATGGGTTGTCAGATTTAAATGCCAGATTGTTAAAGATGGAAAACCATGAAGAAAAAGCCAAGCCTCTTGAAAATCGGTTGAGTTTTGACCGAGTTATGGAGGTGGGAAATTTCGACCCATGTCTTTATACGAATCTACAGGGTAAGATTTTGACATGAATTTCGACCAAAAAATGGGTTGTCAGATTTAAATGCCAGATTGTTAAAGATGGAAAACCATGAAGAAAAAGCCAAGCCTCTTGAAAATCGGTTGAGTTATGACCGAGTTATGGAGGTGGGAAATTTCGACCCATGTCTTTATACGAATCTACAGGGTATGATTTTGACATGAATTTCGACCAAAAAATGGGTTGTCAGATTTAAATGCCAGATTGTTTTAGATGGAAAACCATTACGAAAAAGCCAAGCCTCTTGAAAATCGGTTGAGTTTTGACCGAGTTATGGAGGTGGGAAATTTCGACCCATGTCTTTATACGAATCTACAGGGTAAGATTTTGACATGAATTTCGACCAAAATTTATGTGGTCAGATTTAAATGCCAGATTGTTTTAGATGGAAAACCATTAAGAAAAAGCCAAGCCTCTTGAAAATCGGTTGAGTTTTGACCGAGTTATGGAGGTGGGAAATTTTGACCCATGTCTATATACGAATCTACAGGGTTAGATTTTGAGATGAATTTCGACCAAAAAATGGGTTGTCAGATTTAAATGCCAGATTGTTAAAGATGGAAAACCATGAAGAAAAAGCCAAGCCTCTTGAAAATCGGTTGAGTTTTGACCGAGTTATGGAGGTGGGAAATTTCGACCCATGTCTTTATACGAATCTACAGGGTAAGATTTTGACATTAATTTCGACTAAAAAATGCGTGATCAGATTTAAATGCCAGATTGTTTTAGATGGAAAACCATTACGAAAAAGCCAAACCTCTTGAAAATCGGTTGAGTTATGACCGAGTTATGGAGGTGGGAAATTTCGACCCATGTCTTTATACGAATCTACAGGGTAAGATTTTGACATGAATTTCGACCAAAAAATGGGTTGTCAGATTTAAATGCCAGATTGTTTAAGATGGAAAACCATTAAGAAAAAGCCAAGCCTCTTGAAAATCGGTTGAGTTTTGACCGAGTTATGGAGGTGGGAAATTTCGACCCATGTCTTTATACGAATCTACAGGGTAAGATTTTGACATGAATTTCGACCAAAAAATGGGTTGTCAGATTTAAATGCCAGATTGTTTAAGATGGAAAACCATTAAGAAAAAGCCAAGCCTCTTGAAAATCGGTTGAGTTTTGACCGAGTTATGGAGGTGGGAAATTTCGACCCATGTCTTTATACGAATCTACAGGGTAAGATTTTGACATGAATTTCGACCAAAAAATGGGTTGTCAGATTTAAATGCCAGATTGTTTTAGATGGAAAACCATTACGAAAAGGCCAAGCCTCTTGAAAATCGGTTGAGTTTTGACCGAGTTATGTGAATGGGAAATTTCGACCCATGTCTTTATACGAATCTACAGGGTAAGATTTTGACATGAATTTCGACCAAAATTTATGTGGTCAGATTTAAATGCCAGATTGTTTTAGATGGAAAACCATTAAGAAAAAGCCAAGCCTCTTGAAAATCGGTTGAGTTTTGACCGAGTTATGGAGGTGGGAAATTTCGACCCATGTCTTTATACGAATCTACAGGGTAAGATTTTGACATGAATTTCGACCAAAAAATGCGTGATCAGATTTAAATGCCAGATTGTTTTAGATGGAAAACCATTACGAAAAAGCCAAACCTCTTGAAAATCGGTTGAGTTATGACCGAGTTATGGAGGTGGGAAATTTCGACCCATGTCTTTATACGAATCTACAGGGTAAGATTTTGACATGAATTTCGACCAAAAAATGGGTTGTCAGATTTAAATGCCAGATTGTTTAAGATGGAAAACCATTAAGAAAAAGCCAAGCCTCTTGAAAATCGGTTGAGTTATGACCGAGTTATGGAGGTGGGAAATTTCGACCCATGTCTTTATACGAATCTACAGGGTAAGATTTTGACATGAATTTCGACCAAAAAATGGGTTGTCAGATTTAAATGCCAGATTGTTTAAGATGGAAAACCATTACGAAAAAGCCAAGCCTCTTGAAAATCGGTTGAGTTTTGACCGAGTTATGGAGGTGGGAAATTTCGACCCATGTCTTTATACGAATCTACAGGGTAAGATTTTGACATGAATTTCGACCAAAAAATGGGTTGTCAGATTTAAATGCCAGATTGTTTAAGATGGAAAACCATTAAGAAAAAGCCAAGCCTCTTGAAAATCGGTTGAGTTATGACCGAGTTATGGAGGTGGGAAATTTCGACCCATGTCTTTATACGAATCTACAGGGTAAGATTTTGACATGAATTTCGACCAAAAAATGGGTTGTCAGATTTAAATGCCAGATTGTTTAAGATGGAAAACCATTAAGAAAAAGCCAAGCCTCTTGAAAATCGGTTGAGTTTTGACCGAGTTATGGAGGTGGGAAATTTCGACCCATGTCTTTATACGAATCTACAGGGTAAGATTTTGACATGAATTTCGACCAAAAAATGGGTTGTCAGTTTTAAATGCCAGATTGTTTAAGATGGAAAACCATTAAGAAAAAGCCAAGCCTCTTGAAAATCGGTTGAGTTTTGACCGAGTTATGGAGGTGGGAAATTTCGACCCATGTCTTTATACGAATCTACAGGGTAAGATTTTGACATGAATTTCGACCAAAAAATGGGTTGTCAGATTTAAATGCCAGATTGTTTTAGATGGAAAACCATTACGAAAAAGCCAAGCCTCTTGAAAATCGGTTGAGTTTTGACCGAGTTATGTGAATGGGAAATTTCGACCCATGTCTTTATACGAATCTACAGGGTAAGATTTTGACATGAATTTCGACCAAAAAATGGGTTGTCAGATTTAAATGCCAGATTGTTTTAGATGGAAAACCATTACGAAAAAGCCAAGCCTCTTGAAAATCGGTTGAGTTTTGACCGAGTTATGTGAATGGGAAATTTCGACCCATGTCTTTATACGAATCTACAGGGTTAGATTTTGACATAAATTTCGACTAAAAAATGGGTTGTCAGATTTAAATGCCAGATTGTTTTAGATGGAAAACCATTAAGCAAAAGCCAAGCCTCTTGAAAATCGGTTGAGTTTTGACCGAGTTATGGAGGTGGGAAATTTCGACCCATGTCTTTATACGTATTTACAGGGTAAGATTTTGACATGAATTTCGACTAAAATATGTGTGGTCAGATTTAAATGCCAGATTGTTTTAGATGGAAAACCATTCAGAAAAAGCCAAGGCTCGATTTATGTGAATGGGAAATTTTGACCCATGGCCATAAACGAATCCTGGAGGTAAGATTTTGACATGAAACGAAAGTAAGCAGTTAAGTCTATGAAAACGGTATACACAAGCAGTTTGGACAGTGATAACTGTAATTAGAAGCAGTCTAACTAGGGAAGCCATAAAACGAGAGTCCACAATCCAAAATTTGATTAGTGTTAATAAATATTATTTACTTTTATAAATAACATTCACAATCATCTATAAGGACTAAATTTAGACCATTAAAGGTATTTAAGGAGTGAACAACCTATTAGGGAAATCCAAATTTTCTGCAGTCGTTCAGCTTTTAAGTTTTATAATTCTGTAGCCATTAAGAACAATTAACCCGACAAATTGCAGAGTAAGCAAGCAGTACATTTATCTTCATAGCAAGCAGTTAAAGGCGCACTTTGCAGTGGAAGATCAAAAAACATCCAAGGTTTCTGTGATCGCCCATTTTAAACATATTGTACACAATTTGATAACATTTATTAATGCTATCAAAAAGCTACAAGTACAATAACTAATTAACAGAGAATTGCATACCGTTATGCTTGTAAGCAGTTCAGCAAATGACTGCTTTATAAACTATGCGAACTGATATAACACAATTTTGTTTAATCCAACATTCTGGTCAAGCAGTAGCCTCACTTGCTTGTAATTCTCAAGTACTTTAAGCAAAAGATAAGATAAACAAATAATCATTAATCTTTTTTGTTAAATCTTATCAAGTGCGTAGAAAATTTAACCAGTCATCAACGTCATCTAATCTGCTCAGAATTTGCCAAACATGTATATTTATATATATATATATATAGATAGATATGAGCGATCGCTGGGATCTAAGACTGATAAACATGCTCGCTTTATACTATTTCCGTTTGTTTAGAGTCGAATTAATGAATTGTGGCAACTCATAAAGCACTCGATATTGCTCAAGTTGTGACACGCAAAATTGGTATTAGGTTTGGCCGACATGAAATACTCACGTATTTCTTATCGATTCGCACGGGGCGACTCCCGTTATAAACGTTTGCCCCTTCGGGCTCATAAATACATAAATATAATAAATACACTAAGCGATACTCATTTGTCTGAGCGAAGTACATGGAGTAGCACACATCGAGGACCAGTTCACCCCCAGCTTTTTCGGCACTGTGTCATCAGCGAACATAAATAACCCATTTGCCAATTAAAAAATAACAGACAAACGCTTATCGCAATCACAATAAAATAATAGATAGTACTCCAATCACGCGAAGCATCCATAAATCGAAGCAAACATGTCGCAGATCTATCAGAAATCGGAGGTTGCGGAACGCAATGGCAAAAACGGGCAGCCAGTCTGGATGATCTACAAGGGCAACGTGTACGATGTGACCAATTTTATTAAGGATCATCCGGGCGGCCCAGAGCTCATACTGGAGGTGGCCGGCAAGGATGCAACCAAGGCGTTCAACAATGCCGGACACTCGCCGGACGCAGTCCAGCAGCTGAAACAGTACAAAATCGGCGAAGTTGCCATCGATGCGCAGCCCAAACCGCAAACGGCCAACGGCAAATCCGCCGAGCCGGGTCAAACGAAGCAGCCGCTGCCGCAGCCGCAGCAGGCGGAGAAATCGGGCGGTTTCCTGTGCTGCTGCTGAGCGCAGTTTACATTTCCTTGTAAATAATTGTTGTTATTGTTTTGTTTATTAACATAGCTCAGGTCGTTTAGTGTATAATTATTGTGTAGAAGAGCAGCGGGCGCCCGCCAAATAGTCATTAACTAATATCGTCTAGAATAAGAAGAAGATCAACGTTTTGTTGCGTAACGCAATGTGAATAAATTTTCCATTTGCCACCTAACGTGGCGGGGGCGCACGACGGTCGCGAGGGGCGTGCCACCGAATGAACTTCAATCTCCAGTCTCACATCATAGAATTTGCACTATTATTCGACTAAATCGTGGGGAGTGCTCTGCTGCTGCGGCTGCGGCTGCTCCATCTCCGGCTCCTGCAGCACCTGGCAGGCGGCCTCATACAGTTCCGTCGAAAAGCTGGTCACACTGTTCACCGCATGATTCCGCAAATAATGATAGAAACGACTCGACCGGCGCTCCAGTCCGGCGCGCTGCTTCTCGCTGCGACAAATCGCACGCATGGCCGGCTCATAGTCGAGGGCGCGGGCACAGCTGCTCCGACAACTGCTCCCCAATTGATCCATCAGATTAAGACTGAAAATGCATTAGATTTAAATTGAATAAAATGTTCGAAAAGCGTTTCGACTGCAACCTTACTTTGTTTCTGGGTAGATTTTTGGGGCCTCCATAAGCAGAAAATAATAAGAAAATATGTCACATACACTTTTCACTTTTCAACTGGGGTTGAAGAGGGGCAAAGGGAATTTGGTGTTAACAAAAATGTTGTTAACTTTTTGCACAAATTAAAAAAAATAAATAAAAATAAAAGAGCTTAGCTGCTTTTTCCCTATTCCAGCAGTCGCTCATGATAACTTCGGTGCTTATAGTCCGATCCTTATTAAATTTTTAGCGCTTATAAAAATTTTTATATATCAAATCCCAAGGTTCTAGCTTTAAGAATTTTTCCTTTAACAATTTCGGCGGGGAACGGGGAGTAGTTTTAACAAAGGTGAAATTGTTTTAATTGATAAATACTTTGCGAGCATAAAAGAGTCTAGTATCTATATTTTGAGCAGAGAGAAGATACCCCAAAATAAATTATAGATACTTTGCGAGCAGCTAAGAGCCAAGTTTGATGCATCTAGAACTGCTATTTTTTAGGTTTAGCCCAAGAATATTATCTTTATTTTAATATATATATTAAGCAGACGGACAGAAGGACATGACTAGATCGAGCACATCGAATTCAGGTCGGAGCAGGCTCGCAGCAAACAATTATAGCCCATTTGTGTAGCATAGTGTAATTAGGTATTTGCTTGGTACTCACCGCTGCGTCGGCTTATCAAACAGATTGTAGGCATAGTTTTTGGATGCCAGACACGTGCTGACCGCACACTCGACCAACGTGTGCGCCAGCTGCTCGGCCAGATGCGGCTGGAGTCGATCGTTGCTGCGCTCCAGGCCCGAGGCATCCAGCAGGGAGGCCGTCGACAGATGCTCATAGAAGTTGGCCAGCGTTTGGAGCGGTTCGCTCTTGTTGTGCGTGGCTGTGCTGAGCCACGCCTTCTTTGGTGAACACGACTTGCGTTTGGCGCTGCGCCTGGACACGGACGCACCCGGCGATTGCGTGTGCTGCAGCAGCATTGAATGGCGCAGCAGCTCATTCAGATTTAGGCGCAGCAGGCGAAAGTCAACGGGAAACGGCACAAAATGCCGCACATTCTGTGCCGTCGTATAGAACTCGAACAGCTGCTGATGTATATGGACGCCAGCCAGCGTGGACAGGCGCGGCGATCGGTTGGGCGAGTTGCTGGTGGACGGCGGCTGCGAGCTGCCTCGGCTACGCTGTCCATCGCCGCCGCTCTGTATGAAGAACTGCAGCTCCATGAGGGTCTTGCGCAGATTCTGATGATTGTACAAATAGAGGGATATCAGTTCGTCCAGCTCAATGGGACAGTTCTCCATGAGCGACAGCACGGCCAGAAAACGTGAGATATTCAGCGCATTCGGCGCCTGAAACTTAATCGTATTCTGTTGCATCAGACGCTGCAGATGCGTGCAGTTGGGATCGGTGGCGACTATGATGACGGGTCGCTTGGAGCTGGCGGCGAGCGTATAGATGGCGTCCGTAAAGCCTGCATCGATATTATCGAAAACAATGTCCGCATCCTCGATCAAAATGAGCGATTTGCGCACATCCTCGTCGCCCTGGCTGCGCTTCGCTTTGAGGCCGTTCATTTGTAGCTTTTGGAGCAGCTGTCCGCCCGCCTTGGCCTCCTTGCGTATCTGATGCGATTGGGTGGCCTCCTGCAGCTCCTGTATCAGCTTTTTGCCCGTCCGTCGCATGCCCGCATTTATCTCCAGCACATTGAAGTTCATGTCGTTGGCCAGGGCAAAGACAGCATTGGTTTTGCCGCTGGAACAGGGACCCAGCAGCACCATCGTATTGCAGCTGGCGCCCATTGAGCTGGAATCGTTGCCAAAGTCCATGGAGCAGTTGTCGTCGAGCGTTTGCGAGTTGCGCTGGCCAGCGCCAGCACCATGCCAATTGGCCAGAAAGTCGCGCAGCTCTTGCACAGGCGTCAGATTGACCAGCACCTGCTCGAACAGCAGCGGCTTGTACTTCTCCGTGAAGAGCAACTCGCCGTTGGGCGCCAATGCCGGTGGCCGGAAGTGCTCCTCGGCCTGCTCGCGCTGCTGCTCCTGCTGCTGTTCGAGCGAGCGTCGTGTGCGCCGTGTCACCACAAATGATTCACCCATCGGCTGTGTGTCCTGCGCCGCGTCTATGGCGCTGAAATGTCTGTACTTTTCGCGCATTTGATTGTAGCACTTGAAGGTGGGAAAACGTTCAAAGGCGCTCTTCCAGTTCTTGACCAGCGTGCGCTTATTGTCCAGCTGCGGCAGCGGCGTCCAACTGGACACGCTCTTCTTCGTCTTGCTCGGCACAAAGTCCGCTGCAGTGCAGCTGGTTATGCTGCCCGTGCTGGTTTTACGTACTATTGCTGGCTGCTGCTGCTGCTGCGCCTTCTCCTCCTGTCGCAGCTGCAGCGGCGCGCTGAGGCTCGCCTCCAGACGCGTGCCGCCCACGTGTGCTATGCGCGGAAAGAGCTCGTAACTATCCTCATAGTATTGCTCAAAGCAACGCTGGCGCTGCTGCTCCTGCCTGAGCTTCTCCGGCACGCCGGAGTGCAGGAACTCCTGGCGTGCACGCAACACGGTGGGATCTGGACTGGGCTTGGGCAGTTGCCGCACGAACAGAGGCGCCAGCTTCTTGGGCGTAGCCGCCGGATTGCTCGTGTCCAATTCAATGATCTCTATGGATTCATCAGCTGCCGCCGGCGTCGCTTGCTTCGCCTTGGTGGGACTCGGCTCCAGGTCATAGTCGTAGCGCGCTTTTGTCGCACAGGAGCGTCGCGGTCGACCCGAGGGAGTTGTTGACGTCGTTTCGGCTACGCTTGCTGGCGTATTGGACACAGATTTCTTGGCACGCGGCCGCCGCTTGGGCGTCTCCAGCGTTTCCCCTTCCTGCTTTGCGGTTGCTTCGGCTGCAGTTTGTGGCGACTCCAGCTTGGCAAAATAGCCCAGCAGACTGTCGCGCTTCTTGACGGGCGAGCAGAGCTTGGCCAGCAACTGCACAGTCTCCGTATCGACGCTGGGAGGACTAACCGGCAACTGCGCATCCACATCCGCGCTGGGTCGTCGCGTGCGTGGACGTCCTCGCAAACGTTTGACGGGCTGCGCCTCCTCCTGGCCACTCGCCTCCTTTGGCCCACTCGGCGCCGCCGGCTGCGTCAGCATTTTCTTCAAACTGCAATTGAGAAGGGTTCAACAATAGATTCAAGCTAAAGGCATGAGACGGCTTACCGCTTGGCGCGCTGCTCCATTTGCTGCTCGATGTACTCTTCACGTGCCTCCTCGGCCAGGCGACGCTTGGCGCCGCCTTTGCGTTCGTTCCACTCCTGCAGCAGCTGCTTGCGTTTGCTATGGGGCGGCGAGGCTGTCGCCTCCGCCTCGGCTGGCTCCCCTGCTGCCTGGCCATTGGCATTGGTGCCCAGGGAACGATTGCGCGCATTCATCATTAGCTCGAACACATTGGTAGCAGATTTTGCAGGCGCTGCAGCCTTGGCAAAGTGCTTCATAATGGACGACTGTTGCTCCGTGGCGTGGGGAGTGCTGCTCTTAAGGGGACTTGCAGGCGATTTGCGCTTGGTGTGGCCAATGCCGTTCTCCCGCGACGTTTTCTCGCGCAGCACGTGGCGGCCGTTGGTTGTTGTTGTTGCTGTTGTTGTTTGTTCCGTATTCGCTTCCGCCAGCATTGCGGCACGGCGTTTCTCCTCGCGCTTTCGCTTGTGCTTCTCGCGATGCTTTTGCTTCACCGTATTTAGCACTTCCTCCATGTTTTGTAAAATTAATTTGGATTTGGCGCTGGGCGGTGCTCTTAGTATAAACGGCGATGTGGGCGATTGGTCCAGCACATTTTTTGTGGGCGTGGTTAAAGTTGCAATTTCTGCTGCTGCTGCTGTTGTTGTTGTTGTTGTAAGCTCACTTGTAAAACAATTTACATCAGTCATTTTTGTGGCGCTTCTCTTTTTTTTTACATTCGTACATAGTTTAAGGTCTGTATGTGTGTCAGTGTGTGGTGTGTGTGTGTGTGTGTGTGTGTGTGTGTGTGTGTGTGTGTGTAGATGGTACTCTGTGCGTGTTCGTGTACAATTAGCAAGCAATTTAAATACAAAGCCAAACTTATAAGATTGCAACAAACTGGGCGAAGCAAGCTACATACATAAATAAACAATAAATTGTGTACCTTGGTTGGACTTTTTTTTATACTTGCACACGCACACACATACTACATATGCAGCACACACACAAAAGAAGAGCACGCGCTCACGCTAGCATTTTGCTACGCTTTACCACTGTTTGTTTATTTCTCCGTTCGTTAAAGATTAAAAAACCATTTCGAAAACAAAGAAATTAACAAATTTCCACAGAAAATGCAAGAGGTGAAAGATACGAGAAAAATGGCGCGAAGGTTTTACAACACTACTGACACATGATTGTCTGGCGATGATGCATATCGATAAGTCCAGCGCATGTGTTGAGTTATTCGATAAACATCGCAATATTTAGTGCAATTGTTGGTTTTCGCACACTAAAAGACCAAACTGAGAGTTAACTCGTGACGTCATAAATGCAAT